ATTTGAAGTGGAAATATGGGAATACAATATATAAACAATAAAAAGATAACATAGTAAACAACTTAAGAGAATTTATTTGCAAAGTAGGAAATAAAAATCATGATTTTAACATTTATTTAGAATATGAACAAAACTAGAAAAAGTTAAAACTACAGAAAAGGTAGAGAGTACTGGAGTTGGCTCAGTGGCCATATAATACAAACAAGCAAAACCCAAGTTTCTTTCATGCAAATAAGCCTTAAGGAAAAGAGAACAGGAATGTTTATAGAACAGACCACAACAAGTATTTTTAAAATTTACATAAGAAACTGTACAGAAATGAAAAATAAATTAGACAATTTACAAGAAATGTTTTATAGGTTATAATAGGCTATAACTTAGTTTATTATGAATAAAATTTGTAGCACATCATACATTTTTACATCGCAGATTCAGTGTTAGAATAATTCCAACATGACAGAGCTCAGAATTGGCAAGAACAATGCAATAGATAGAATAAGGCAACTTAAACGCAAATGGCTTGTATAAGTAAAATTAACACAAACATCTTCTAGGTATGATTTGATCTGTAACTGGGCAGAATTAACACAAATGCCACTCAATTTCAGTTAAAAAGTCAAAGCTTCACTGTAGTTCAAATAAAAAGTCAAAGCACACAATGTATTAAAAAAATGATAAAACCATCTTAACCTGACTTACATCCACATTCCATTAAGCGTATTTAGGACAAGGAGACCAGAATATTAATGTTAGGTCTATAAAGTTATCTTTTGTTTCTAAATGTAAGCTAAAAAGGGCACCTCAGAAAAAAAGTGGCAGATTTTAACATGGCTTAATACTCGTGACAACTATCAACTGTGCCAGGTATGAGATCCGTATGACTCAGGGACACAACATAAAGCTAAAATAATCTCAAACTATCAGCATTATTTATGTATATTTTACAAATTATACAAAACTGAAATGTTTTCTTTGAAAGCTACTGGAACTGTAGGTACTGCAACGTATGAAAGATGTTGAGAAATAGAAAAAAAATCAGCACTATCTTAGACTTGAAATTTAGTTGCACATTTATACAATTCAAAACCTTGGATTTTAACTTTATTCACTCCTTTGAAAAATACATTCCTCATTAGTTCTTTTAAACACAAAATTACTGGCCGCTACAGCAAAAAGACTGAAAATCTAAAAACAGAAATAGTTTTTTGACTACACAAAGAGCCAGAATGTAAAGATTCTGGTTTTTTTCTTAAGGAAAAAAAAAACTGATTTCCTCTCAAACACATCATTCACTACCAACTGTAGTACCTGAAGTCCCAACATCAACTCACTGCTACATTTATTAAGCTGGAAATATCAGACACATGTACAATCTGATTATTCTCAGGCAATCCTAAGGATAAAGGTGTTTTAGGTCTTTATCATACTTGATGTAGATGACTACAATCCATGATACTTCAACTCCCTTAGAGATAATTAAAATTGTGTTTTATAAATCCCACTATGAATTGTGTTTGACAAAGGCAATAATTCTAGGAGGGGTTTATCCCACATCTACCCCAACTCACAATGATCAGAAATAAGAAACAGCTTAAAGAAAAGGGCTATTAAAAAAATCCCAAATATATCTAACATTCAAACATCCATAAATTTAGTGGTATGTTTCTTTTTGTACAATGGAAAAGTTATAATGCCCATATAATTTTGAAGTTATAGCACAATAAAAATTCCAGATAGCTTTACAGATTAAAGCACGCGGGGACACACACACACACACACACACACACACACACCCTTGATATTACTTTACAGTATATCTACTACTTGGCCATTACTGGCAATAACAAAACATTATGAGAGAATAACTAATACCATTCTATGGTGAGAATCCAAAAGCTAGTACCTCTCAACATATATCAACACAAATAAAATGAACTCTAAAACATGATGCCACATATCTGAACAAATTGTTTCTGTCACTTCAAATGCTGCCATGAATGGAGCAACTAACTGTCTTTTGGGACAGTCTGCTTTTCATGGAACCCCTGTTTTCAATAGGCTATTAAAATACCTCAAAGGAAGAAAAATAATTACTCACTTTTTGGGGTCTTTGCTCATCAGTTACTAGGCTCAGTAGAAACATAAAGCTACGGTCTCAAATATTGAAAACAGGCAGTGATATAACGAACATTACTTTCTGAGATTATCTGATGACAGAAACAAAGTTGGCTGAATTCCTTCTCTATTAGAATAAAACACCCTAAAATAAACAAACTTATTGGGAAAATAGAACATCATTGACATTTCATGGCACATCATCATGTTAAATAAGGTCAAAGAGTATTATTACAAAAATGCAGTATGTTTCTAATGTTTTGTTTATACATACCACAAAACAGTAAGTTAAATGCAAAATAACACATACTCATTTTTCTGGTGATCATCCAGTTTTTACATGGCTTTAGAAGAGAAAAAGTTTCTAAACTACACTCTCAAATGCAACAGACTAAACATAAAGTGCTCAATAGAGAAAAAACAAAATATTAAAATATGAAACATTTTGCAAATAACAAGCAGAGTGGTTATAAAGGACATTTGGAAACTACTGCCTTGCTAAGCTTTCCACCCAAAAATGCGACCTTGGAAATCAAGGCAAGATGCCTTGATTCAAGGCAAGATGGACTGCTCTTAGAAGGCAAGAGGACCGCTGGACATAGAGGAAAACCTTTTCCCTTTGAGCTGCCTCATTTTTCTTACAGAAGTGGACTTTCAGGAACCGGTACTGAGAATACAACAATCACATCTGCACGCAAAGGTAGAAAACTCAGGAATCTTCACAGTCTAATATTTGGCAAACAATCTGAACCTCTAGGACAGTCAAGACGCCACATATATTACTGGCAATAGCGCTAACTTTACCTAAACTAAGAGTCCACCTATTTAAACTAGAGTAGCTGAGCAAGGAACGCCCTTGTCAATAGGCAAGGAAGTCTACTAGTACTTTGTCTTTGGAGCAGTCGGGGTGTAGAGCTGAAGGCCATTAGTTCTCAAAGTCTCTCTGGTTAAAAGGCAGTCTTCTGGGGGTATGGATGGTGGTAGTGGTGGTGGAAAGTTCTACACCTTGTGTTCTTTACCAACTGCCCAAGCAAACTGATAGTGATCCTTGCATTTGAAAATGTTATTTTAAAAAATGAAAATTAAATCCACCAAGTTATAAACAAGGTTCTCCTTGTGTGTACAGAACTCAATGAAGAATTAAAAAGGTTTCTTTTTAGTCCTTTAGAATTGGCTTCTCAAAGTTCAATTAGATAAGGTGTGTGTGTGGGGTTAAGTCTTTGGAATCATCAAATTTACTGCAGCGAAGGAAATATACATTCTGAAGACTGATGAGGATGCTCAGGATGTGTCTTGGGCAACTTTATTAGTATCATTAGAAAAACGATACCTACTACAATGAGATGGCAGGATGCAATGTAAGATGTTTTTTGGAATGGTCAGAAATACAGCTTGTCTGAATAAAATAAACTAGGCCAAATGAGGTATTTCTTATCCCTCTTTATGTATTTAAAAAATAAGGTTCTCACGTGTTCCCTCTCTAACATTCTTTAAAAAGTCCAGATTCAAATTTAAGTTTTAATGAATACATGATAGTGTTCATTTTTAAGAGCTAGTTCTAGAAACTACACTAATACAGTAACCACTACCCAAACGTGGCTACTGAGAACCTGAAATGTGGTTAGTCTAAATTGAGTTGTGCTGTAAGTGTAAAATACATACTGATTTTGAAGACTAAGTAACAACAATCCCCGAACCCAAAAAAAACCCTAAATAACTTTTTATAATGATTACATGTTGAAATGATAACACAGCTATACTGGGTTAAATAGACATATATAATTTAAATGAATTTCACCTGTTTACTTTTTAAATATGTCTGCTAGAAAACGCAAAATTACATGGTGCTCACATTTATTTCTATTAGACAGCACTGTTCAAGAACATAAGAGCTCTGAGGCATTAAGCTGATTGGGATTAGAACCAAACCTATTTACCACTCTATGCTTATACAAGCATTTTCCTGGGATCATAATAAAAAACTAGAACCTTGGCAGCCTTCATCACAATTCTGTGTTCTTATTAGAAATACTTATTAGAATTACTCCAGTAATTCTAGATTGTACAAGAGAAAAGCCAAGAGCTTTTCTCACAGTGGTGAGATAGTTGCTCACTTTATATGCATTTTAGCAGGTAACTTCAGTTTCAAAAGACAAAAAGTATGAATCATAGTCCCAAATTAACCAAAGTATTGATCAAATTAATTTGTATATACTTTTACCATTCCATTTCCTTCTTGACGACAGCCCCAAACCTATAACTGCTAACGTACAGTTTGCCACAGGTATAAAATTTGAAGTTATCATTTAAAAGCAAAACCTTCTTGTACAGATGCCCAATCATGCAATTCTAAAATAAATTAAAAAGATAGCTTTTGGCTGAAATATCTAGTCACGAAAATGGAAACATTTAGTAAGAAAATGTTTAAACATTGTAGGTTTTCAAAATGACCACTGACTGACATGAATTCAAAGTTCTAAATATTCTACATTCTAAAAATTACCTTCATATGCTTTTCCCTCTGAACATAACTACAGGGAGAAATATCTTTATCAAGCACCACCTCTTGAGATTCAATTGAAAATTGTTCTCTACGGAGCAAAACTGTCGTGTAAAAAGACAGCATAATACCTTTCTTCCTGTAATACAAAAGTTTTAAGCTCTTCAAAGTACATCCAGATTTACTGTAATTTAAGGAGGTGAACAGTTTTTCCCAATTTCCCCCGTCTTTCAACTTCCTAAACCATAACTAACAGTCTCAAAAAACTTTGCTGAACTATTGGACCTCCAAAATGTTACTACCAAAGTGAAAGTCTGAAAAAATTTATATTATAAAAAATGACTTCAAAGTATAGAATAAATTCCAAGGCAAAAGGATTTACAAATTTTGGAACTATAATGCTTTTATTACCAGAATGTATGAAACACTGATCCTTTTATAATTCTGCAATACTGCCTCAGATTCCCAGTTTCAAAACAACTCGTCTTTTAAATTTCCATAACATCTGTTTAGAACAAATGACTTTGTTGCTGTTCACAGCAGAAGACAGTCTTTACCTTTGATGGTTCAGACATAATTAAACAGAAATGGCTAACTTTGGGCCTAAGATAAATGTGGTATAGAGAGAAGAGCACAGAACCCTACCAATACACATAAACCATACTCCATTCAAATAGTCCTGGGACCTCACTGAACGGACTTTCAAATAAGTAATTAAGCCTCCAATTAAAAATCATTTAAAAATGTACTATCTGATAAACTCAAAATACAAAAATGCAGTATCACCAATTATGTGCATTCTCTAGGATTCATTTTAAAATTCAGGCTAATGTTTAACAACAGTATTTCAATTAAATTACGGCATTTGAAAAAGGTTATACTTCTGGGGAAAGAGCACATAAACATGCTTTTTGGGAGAAGATATGTTTGGAAAACAACAGTAATGAATAATTAATATTGCTTTAACATTTCTAAAATCATATAAAAATGATCATCTTTGATTGCCATTTCAGTAAGTTTCGATACAGGGTATGTTACTGTCCACTTACTAGTAACCAAAACACACATAGAACAGACTTGAAACAAATATTCAGAATCAATTCTTTTCATGAGATAAACATTTCTGAGACTTTAAGATTCATGTTTGAACATACAGTACTGCAATGTTGGCTACATAAAATAAAATAAATAGAAAATCTTTTTCAGAGGAAGCTCATTAATCAGAGGCTGTATTGCATTTAAGGATTTAACACTGGCTATATACAGAAGGGAAAGCATTTCACTTAGAAATACTTCACATTACTGGAGCTCTCTTTTTAATATGGCAACATATAGCAGCTTACCATTCTGATACTTAAAAATCAACAGGAATAGTGCTACTCTTTCATCCTTTGGTTCCCAGTGACAAATAATGCAGTAATAACACCTCTGGTTTTCAGTTCCTCTTGAATGACATTTATTAACAGAGAGAAACCCGATGCCTTAGCTGAAATTTGGCAGCCCAAGAAGTGCACCAACTGCTCCAAAATATCCCTGCATAATTTAAAAGCAATTATTAATGTAGTGTAGCTTCTAAATGAACATGTAATATTAACCACTATTAAGAACACATACTTGTGTATAATCTATTTAAGAACATTGATTCAGAAAGCTACCAATTTGTGTCATCAGTTATTGTAAAAAAAATTTTTTTTAAACTGTATTCTCAATATATACAACTTTTTTTTTTCTGTAATTGAATTCCATGTTTAATTGCTCAATATTTCAATTAACAGTCTACTTGAAACAATAAAGTACGTTTTCTGGCAGCATATATTCTTCATATATTACAAACTTTGGGTTGACCAATAAGTTTGTTCAGGTTTTTCCTTAAGATGTTGCAGAAAAACCTGAACAAACTTTCTGGCCAACCCAATACATATATATGTATATGTTTTTGTATTATAATTGAAGCTAAGCATTTTCTAGTTAATTATAATATATATACCTTTGAAATACATATTTTTTTATAAAGAGTGGCTGTTAGACACTAAAGCTTCCAGGACTATTGTTGCAATTCTGGCTCCCCTCCCCTTTCCTGAAGAAAATTCCTTTGGCTCTGCCTGCCATTCCCACAGCAGAGGACACGCCAGGTGGAGCTGCACAAGAGTACACATTCTGACCTCTACAGCGAGAGCAGTGACAATGACACATGGAAGCTCGTAAGAGCAGAACAAATACTCAGAATCTGTATTACTAAAATGCTTAATAAAATATTCACTTGACCACAAATAATTCAAGGTAAGTTTACTTAATCCAAAACATTTTGTGAACTGATACTTGCTCCGATCAGAATTTAACTGGATATTGTGATCGAATAGGGAAAAAAAATCTCAAAGAATAAACTCCGAAATGTTAACAGTAGTTACCACTGGAGGTGGGGGTGAGGCTGTGGTGGGAGGATTAAGGAGATTTTCATTGCTAAATCATATATATTTTTATTGTTCATATTTAACATTTGTTCTCTCAGGGGAGGACAAAAAAAGAAAGAGGGAATTCCCTGGCGGTCCAGTGGTTAGGACTCTGTGCTCTCATTGACAAGGGCCCGGGTTCAACCCCTGGTTGGGGAGCTACTACTAATATCCCACGTGAGGCACAGCCAAAAAACAACAATAAAAAACAAAACAAACAAAAGAAAACAATTTAACAAAACAAACCCACTAAATACACAAGCAGCCCCAGGATTTAATGAGCTCACAGACCTGATACTGCTCTCTCTTTTTCAGAAGAACTGTGAGATTCTCATCTTAATGGGATGTCTGCCAGGTTACAAAAATGCCCACCCCCTAACTCAAACTGAAGTGAGGGAATCAATATACTATTTACGTAAATCGCAGTTTTATACTTCACTTATAAAGTACCTGGCAAGGAACAATATATGAAACTGCATTTAAAAGCATGCTATTATAATTCACAAAACTTTATCTTCATATCATACCTCATGCTCTAGAAACAAAGCTTTCAGTTGACCTTTTGACCAATAATCCAGTGCATATGCCAAAAGTTTCATCGAGAGAGTATTGACACGTAAAAAGTTTCCAACAAAGACAACTCTGTTTATTTTCTAAAAGAAAAGAACAAAGAAAATGACTTGAAAAAAGAATTATCAAGTAGATTTTACAATACAATACAGTTTATAAGATCTCTACTTACAAATATAAACAACTACTACCTTTTTTTTAGTGCCTACTACATTCCTGGTATATGCCTTCATAATCCTGAATACTTAAAAATTAGTTTAGGACATGTCACTACACTTGTCAAAACCCATAGAATGTACACTAAGAGTGACCCCAAATGTAAACTATGGACTCTGAGTGATGATGTGTCAATGTAGGCTCATCGATTTTAACAAATGTACCAAACTGGTGCTGGATATTGACAGTAGGGAAGGCTATGCGTCTAGGGGGTCAGTGAATTCTGTACCTTCCACTCAATTTTGCTGTGAACCTACAACTGCCCTAAAAAATAACGTCTAATTTAAAAAGAAAAGTTCTGGAAAGACCCTAATTAAATGATTACAGATAGACTTGTTTTTGAAAATGGCCAATAAGTAATACATTTAGCAAAGAAAGTAATTTGGAGAAATAACACTGATGAGATAAAAGGAGACAAACCAAGGAAAAGTATTTTAAACGTGTTTAGGATTAAAAACAAGCTGTAAACTTGGTCAGCATGTTGCAGTTTATGCTCAGTAATGACACAGAAACCGTGGACTTTATCTGTATAGCACTGGAGAGCAAAACTGACTGGGATACTGGCATGCCCACCCAACCCCTAGGGCTTCCAGATGGAGGAACTAATATTTGTTTTGAATCTCCAAAAAACCTATTTCTACTCTCACAATAATGTAAGTACTTCTGAGTATACATTTTTGCACAGAGTTTGAATAGCGTAAACTATGGCCTTAATTACTGTTAAGTCAACTGGCCAGTGAAAATCTGGACCTACAGGGGTAACAAAAATTCCCAAACCTAGGTTAAAATGCCTGCTAGTGGCTCCCTCAACTAACTTACTACACTGTTATTAAGAAACTTAAAAGACAGTATTCTAATTTTGAATTTAGAGTAATTCAGAGGATTAATTCGAGTCTTTGCACAGTTGTTCTCTCTGCTGGAGCCTCCCTTTCCCCAAATATCTGCACCCATGACTCTCTCACCTCCATCAAATCTTTGCCTAAGAGTCACATTTTCAACAAAGCCTTCCTTTAACTACCCAGTTACTCAGTAATTTGTCCTCTGCCACTCTCTGGTCTACTCTCAATTCTCTTTATCTTGTTTAATTTTCTTTTTAAAAATAGCATTTATCACCTAATACAGAATAATTTACTTGTTTACTACATCACTAGAATGGCTGTAAGCTCCACAAGGTCAGGGATCTTTGTTTTCTTCACTAATTTATCTCAAGTGCTCAGAACAACACCTGGCACATGGTACTCTGTAAATATTTACTCAATGAATAAACAAATGAGTGAACAAATGAAGAATTCCTTTAAAAAGTAAAATTCCCAACACATTTGTAAAGTATTTGATATTTATAAAAATTAAATGGGCAAATACCTCTATTACACACAGGCAAAACTGTATGTACAGTCTTCTTCAAATAAAAATAACCCAATTATGAGGTAAATCTAGCAGTACATGCTTTTTGTAAGTATACATCATTCAAATTTCACGTGAAGAACGGTCTCAGTGCCTTCATAGCCCTGTACAATGCTGCTTGATCCATATGCAACAAGGCAGCACTGTAAAGAAGCCGAGGGCAGTAAGAAAACTTCCAAGTACTTCACTAATCATAGGTAACACTAGCAGGAAAAAAATACCTACCCACTTTCAATAGTAAGTTACCTCAAAACGTCTTATTGTCTAGATAGAATTTTTGTTTTACAACTTCAAGATATTTAGGTTGTATATTTCTGAAAAGGTTTCTGGATAAATATGAAATGTAAATTATCTCTTTGTCCTATTTCCGGTTTGAATTATCTGCTACTTTCTTTAAAGGTAGTATCACAATTGGATAGGTAACATATATATTAATGAATCTTGGGATTTAATGGATTAAGAGATCTCGATCCCATGAGGCCTTCTTAAGGAATACAAAGAAGCCTGCTACATGTACATAAAAGTCCAACTCACATTTTCCATATAATTAAACAATTTTCTTTACCTCATTAACAGCACACATTCGTGCCACAGAACCAATGTTATTGGTGATAGTAACTAATGTAGCTCTTGCTAGATCTTCTTTACTAACAGATTCTCGCTTCTCCTTATAAATCATATTCCCAAAACTGGAGAGAAATGAAAAACAAACAAAATCAAATCTGTTGATAACAAACAACATTTCATACATTTTGAGAATACAGACTACAGATAAATCTACACATGTGTAAAATAAGGTATACATGTACAAGGTTACTTACTGACCCAATGAACTGCACGTAGGAAAATACTGGGAACACCCAAACATCTATCAAACTAGGATACATTCATACAATGAAATACCATGAAGCTGTTAATAAAAAAAAAGGGGGGGGGGGGAAAGGAAGGAGGGAGGGAGGGAGGAAAGGAAGGAAAAAGAGGAAGACAGAGGG